GAGCAGGGGGGAGCCGATGATGTGGTTCTGACAGAGGGCACCTGGAGCTTCTTCTCAGTCCCGGGAACGGCGGAACCCACCGTTGATTTCAATGACCTCACGAGCTCCTTCAGCTGCTCTCCCCTTTAAACAGACCCATTTATGAACCAATCCGAGTCCTGAAGCTTTGATCACCTTGATTCCGAGTCGTTTATAAACGTAACTAGCGAAAATAAGAAGTTTGCGAATGAAAATGCTGCCAGTGTATCATTCATGGGAGACACGAGACCACGGCCCACCATGGCAGCTTGATGGAAGCCAGCATTTGAGAGGTATGCAACTTAGTTGGAGAGACATAGGCACCGGACTTCCAGTGCGCCAGTGACCACAGCCAGTGCGGTCGGCTGATACAGGATGATCATCCTACGGGCGGGAGGCAGCGGGAGCATCTCGAAGTTGGCGAGCAAGGACGAGTAGAAGGATAGCTGTATTTGAGCAGCGATGACTAAGGCCACCCGGACCCTGCACCACTCGACAAGCACATAATATGCGGAGTCAACTTCTTCAGTCAGAGTACGAGTGGTTGACGAGTGGCAAGCGACGAAACGCCCCCTGACTAGCATAAGCTTGCCAATGGCAGCAAATGACAGAAGTATGGCTATAGTGCCATTATTGATAGAGAATGAGAATAACAATTTCTGTGGCAAATTAAAAGGATCCGGAGAGTAGCAGGTGTCGTAGGGATGATGGTGCTCAAATGGCAGTACTGCGGGCGAAGGCAAGACGCGGAGGCCGACAACGTAATGATTATACTAAAAAAGCCCATCATTGTACATGTTTGTACTTGTGTGTATACATGTTCTAATCCTGTTTCAAGTCGCCGCTCCATTTTCCTGCAGCTTCCACGTCTTTCTGAATGGCCACGACTTGCGAAGCAACGATGCTGATAGCGTCGAGGCCAAGAGGAACACGCAGACCCACGGTGTCGTCGTAGGCAATCTTACGGACCTCGCGGGCAGCCTTGGACGCATCACCAGCGGTCTTTTTGACGTCCGGACCGAGGAATCCACGCACGAATTTGGTGGCGCAGTCAGGAGCCGTGTACGCAGGGTGCTCAGGGACGACGACGAGCGACTCTGCGTCGACGGCGCGCGTGGAAAATCCACCAAATTCAATCAACGTCATCTTGATATTCCACGAGGGATGAACTTCTTTCGAGAGCGCCTCTATGAGTCCCTCAATCGCATACTTGCTACAGAAATGGGTCAGATCAGAGTTTTGACAGAATTAATTTAACCAACCTAGCACTGTAGTACCCAATAGCAGGCATAGCCTGAACGCCGGCCATGCTGGAGGCTTGGATTATACGCCCACCCATGGGTTTGTTGACATCGCGGAAGATGCGGATCGCTTCTCGTGAGATGTTGGCCGAGGCCCAAAAGTTGACTTCAAAGAGGCCTCGCGCAACGGCGTCGGGAGTTCCCTCAACCTCGGCAAGTGAAGAATATCCGGCATTGTTGTACACGACATCAATGCGCCCAAAATGCTCGATTCCTTTGGAAAAGGCGGCCTGGATATCGGCGGTGGAGGTGACGTCGAGTTTCACGACGAGAAGTTGATCTGCAGAATATTTAGTGGAAACATCTGAGAGTGCTTCTGGCTTGCGCAGGGTGGCTATGACCTTGTCTCCTTGTTCGAGTAGGTGCAGAACAGCTGCACGTCCGAGGCCGGCAGAGGTTCCGGTGACTAACGTTTGGAGTGTCAGAATTTTAGTCTTCGTGATATAAATTTACTGTCATGCTCACCGAACCAAATTTTGGATGACATTGTAGATTGGTGGGTGACTAGCGGCTAGGCTTATGGGATGTGTTCAGTGAACCTCGTTGTATGTGGTTTATATCCCATAAATCAGAGTCATTATTCTTTGATCATTTCGCCAATCACTGAGTAACTAGTCGGAATATACGGAACCGACGACCATTTATGTATCGATTTGTAACGGTAAAAATCACGTTGTATACTTTTGCGACCTGACCTTACTCCGCAAGGTGTGGTTCCTTCGTTTCTTGCTCCCACAAAACTTATAATTGACTATAATTTTACTGATAGGTATCTTTCAAGTCAGACCTTGCTGACTGTTATGTTCAAGTTGCGGAAGCGTTAACGCCACTCTCTCCCCCGCGTACTTGAGCGTATCGAGTCCTTGAATAATAAGGTAAGGACGGCAATTGTACGTCCATATAGGGCAAATTAATAATAGTTTGCTTCATTCATCTTCCGACAGTACTAATTACATCCTTTATAATTACATTGCCAGAGTTAACGTCTTATCGACGAACCATGAAGAAGCTATATGTATAAATCAAACTTTATGCCTATGGCCACACGAGAAGTATGCTGTGGCACCTTACGTGGAAAGTGCTCCAGCCAGAAGCCATTGGATTCGAGCATCTGACCGGTCTTCCCATGATCAAGAAGCATTATTAGTTACACAAACTTCCCAAGCCGTTTCTTATAAAGTCCACTTCCAATGGTTTTGTAACTTTGACTTCCTTGTGTTCGAGCATGGATACTTTACTGCCCGAGTATACTGCTGCCGTACTGGTCCTGTCACTTTCTGCGGCCGTATCTTTATGGGCGCTTATATGGAACTGTCAATCATTGCTATCCAAGCTGCCGTACCCACCAGGTCCAGCTCCTACCAGCGTTATCTCTGGGAATAAAAGTCAAATCACGTCCACGCCTCGCGTGTGGCGTAAATATAAAGAGTGGGCAGAACAATATGGTAAGTCGTTTGCCATATGCAGATCCTACACTACGCTGAGTTGAGTTGGCCACCAGGGAATATCATCTACCTGAGAAGCTATCGCCAACCAATCATTATCATAAATTCTTTCGAGGATGCAGTGGAACTCCTTGAGAAGCGTTCTCGAATCTATTCCTCTCGGCCAGTATCACCCATGTATAAACTGTGCGTTGCTGGCCATGCACTTTTGAAATAGAATTGCTTATTATTCTCCCTTGGTGGATTATAGTATGGGGTTCAACAACAGTACCGCGATGAGGGAATATGGACCGGAGTGGCGTAAACATAGGAGAATCTTCCAACAGAGCTTCAAGCCCGATTCTTCCCTTACATACAGGCCCATTCAAACTAGGAAAATGTACGACATGCTACACCGCTTCCTGAACACCCCAGAGGACTTCGAAGCCCATATCAAAACGCGAGTATAATTATTATCTGGTCATAGGGCTTACTATTGACGTCACTACCACTAAAATAAGACTTGCCGGGTCAATAGTTTTACTCCTGATCTATGGATACGATGTCGCGCCGAAGGATGACCACTACGTCAAGTTGGTGGAAAGTACGCGGCCCGCGTTCGCACTCGGATTGTCGCCCAAATGGCTGGTGAATAACTTCCCAGTTCTGCGGCACATCCCGTCCTGGTTCCCCGGTGCTAGCTTCAAGCAGTATGCGAGCGCTATGAGCTGCAGGAACATCGAGGCACGGGAGGAAACATACAAATACGCAATGACCGCGCCGGTAAGATTTAAGGTGTTGGCGCACGTACTTGAAATTGTTCATCATATGTTTTTGGTCAGGCGTCGTCGGGAAGTATGCATACGCCCCTTGTTTGCAGTTTGTCAGAAAATTACAGCTCGCCGACGGACTTGTCCCTGTTGAAGGAGGCAGCTGCATCTGGATACGGAGGTGGGCTGGTTCATCGTGTATCTATCGATTTAACGATGACACTTCTTTTTGCGGTAAGCGGGAGTGGGAACGGTGAGTCATCGGAGCCCAAGAAATGCGCCACCTTCCTTTGACTGATGGATATTGCAGACACAATCTACAATTATGATATTCATGGAGGCCATGATATTGTTCCCAGATGTCCAGAAAAAGGCGCAAGCAGATGTCGATCGTGTTACAAGAGGAAAGAGACTCCCCGAGTACGACGACCAGGAATCGTTGCCCTATATTCAGGCGCTTGTTCGGGAGGTGGTACGGTGGAAGCCACTTCTACCGCTTGGCCTAGCCCACGCAAATAATGAAAACGACACGTACAAAGGCTATTATATTCCCAAGGGTGTGTTCGCATTTTCTTCTCGTGCGGACGCTGAAGCTGCAAGGGAAATTAGATAGCATCGTCCACCCTAACGTCTGGCAAGTGGCCGAGTCCATCTTGAATTTCTATGGCTTACAGTAGTGCTTGGAAATCAGGGCTATGACGCGCGATCCCCTCAGATACAAGGATCCAGAGAACTTCAATCCTAATCGCTTTTTGACTGCGGAAGGGGGATTGAACGACGATGATATGACCTATGTATTTGGGTTTGGCAGACGGTCAGTTTTTCCGAAGTAATGTAATTCGCACCAGGCCACTCATCGATTATGCCGGGTACCAGAATTTGTCCTGGACGACATTTGGGTTTGGCGACAGTAAGTTTCTTAATCCGTTCCTCCCAAAGACGCTGTTCCTCGATGATGTGCTGTCTGTTAGGTTTGGCTCGCGGTGGCAACGATCCTCGCTAGCTTCGATCTAGGGCGAAAGAAGGACGCTTCCGGGAACGATCTTCCTCTTAGTATAAAGTATACAGAATTCGGCCTGTCTAGGTGCGTTTAAACGTAGGAGCTTACAACGGCCGGTTAACCCACGCTTTGAAGCTACCCTCTTCCTTTTGAGTGTTCTATCACTCCGCGGTCAGAGGACGCCAGACAGCTGATTTTGGAAAAGCGTTACCAAGCTTGAGGTACTCTTGAAATATTAGTTCTGTAGTTGAATACAACTTTGTCAATACATATTATGTCGGCTTTGAAGGCAGGAAATCCACTGAGTACCTTTGAAAACATGTTCGTTGCTGATGTCGTGTCGGATTCGGCGTCGAGATCGTGGAGGCGCGCGAGGAACTCGTGTCTTCAGCGCGGTTGGGAGGTGGGAAGAGGCCGCGTCAGCTGGGAGAACGGCGAGGAAGGGGTGTAGAGCTTGATAGATGCACAATTCAGACATCTGTCCATGGGTGAGATGGCCGAGCGGTCTAAGGCGCCAGACTAAGGATCCGAACATTCGTTGTTCACCATTAACTGTTCTTACGGTTATCTGGTCCTCCGGGGCGTGGGTTCGAATCCCACTCTCATCAAATCTTTTTGTTCGTGCATGCTCTTATGAAGTTCCACATTGATGATCATTGATTGCACAGTGCGCACTGAGGAGACTTATAGTTCGAACTTCAAGCTTCACGCTTCAAACTTCAAACAAACTTCGAACTGATTTAGCCAATCCAAATTGACCAAGTCTCAAGATCTGTAGTCGCGCGGAAATTTTGTGGTTGTCACGATCATATGATTACGTGACCGACGCGTAAATAGTAAACCGTGGACATGGTTGGACCTGCCATGTAACTTGAACTTACACTTCCACAACATTTTTGGGTTCTTTATGATTTCGGCCGTTCTCATCGCCTTAAATCCAGCTTCATAGTCGTAGGAGATGGGGATTTCAGGCCTTTTGCCAGCGCTCAAGGCTATCCAGGTCACTAGGCACCTTTCAGAATATTCGGGCAAAACTATCGCAGTCGACGCATACGTGTGGCTGCACAGAGGCGTGTATGCGTGCGCCACCGAGCTCGCCACGGGAAAGAGCACGCACAAGTGAGTGGCAAGCCTGATTTTCAACGAGGGAGACTGATAACGGCCACAGGTATGTAGACTACGCTATGCACCGCGTGCGGCTCCTGCGGCACCACGGAATTGAGCCGTACGTCGTCTTTGACGGAGGGCCACTGCCAGCGAAGAAGGGCACGGAGAACGAGCGCAAGCAGAAGCGGGAGGATGCCCGGGCGCGCGGCAGGGTGTTCCTCGCGCAAGGCAAGCACGCGCAGGCGCGGGAGTGCTTTCTCAAGTGCATCGACGTCACTCCGCAGATGGCCTTTCAGTTCATCAAGGCTCTGCGGGCAGAGTCGGTTCCTTACGTCGTTGCACCATACGAAGCAGACGCACAGCTTGCGTACCTTGAGCGTGTAGGAGCGGTCGACGCTATCCTGACCGAGGACTCGGACCTGCTCGTGTTCGGCTGCAAGACGGTGCTCTTCAAGCTGGATCCTGTTGCAAGTACAGTGGTTGCCATCTCTCGCAAGGACTTTGGCTCCGTCACCGCTTCGTCAGCGGACACCACCGGCATTTCGCTTCTCGGCTGGTCCGACGTGCAGTTCCGCGCCATGACGATTCTGAGCGGCTGCGACTATCTCCCCAGCATCCCTGGGATTGGGCTCAAGACAGCATGTACTCTCCTGCGCAAATGGAAAACGGCAGAACAGGTCGTCAAGGCCATCACTTTGGAGGGGAAGAAGTCTGTCCCGCCTGGCTACTGGAAGCAGTTCCTCCTTGCAGAAAAGTGCTTTCTCCACCAGCGCGTGTACTGCCCGCAGGCAGAGAAGCTCGTGCATCTGAGCGACGTTGGCCCTGATTGGAACGAAGAATTCGACGCATATGTTGGAGGGTGTGTGTTTTGGAATACAGTGAAAAGTCCTCGCGTGTGCTAATATCCATTCAGTGACATTGACGCTGGTCTGGCGAAAAAAATAGCCCGCGGACATGCGGACCCAGCCACATACCTGCCTATGGAAGACATCAACAAAGGTTTCATGCCACGCGCCCTCAAGCCACTGGCACCGGCGTCGAATAGTCCCGTCAAGTCGCTGAAGGCAAAAGGGAAAATGCGCGAAAGTGTCCCACCACCGAGCGCCAAATCGCGCGTGGGTGGACTCTTCAACTTCTTCGGTCCCAACGCTATCATCCCTCCCCGACCCAAGAAGACGCCCTTGCCGGTGGCCAAGCCCAACCTCACGGGAAGGGCAAGCGGCAAACGCACCCTCGCTGAGGTAATGGATCAGGATATGGAGCGCAAGAAGAAGCCTCGCCAGAGCTACTCCCCCGTCCGCACGGCGCAGTCTAAATTCTTCGCGCCTGCGAGTGGTGTCCGGCGGCGGCACAGCGACGGCGTTGGGACTTCAGGACTCTGCTCGCAGGAAAAGGAGAATATATTGCCCGAACCGGAGGATGTGGACGACGCTTCAGAGTCGGAGCTAGGTGCTTCGGACCAGTCATTGCAAGTCAACTTCAACGACCCGGCGGACGTCACGGAATTCGACCTCACCGAGTTCGCGGACGCCGTCGAACAGGAGGACGGGTACATTTCGCCATCCCCATCGGATTCGAGGGAAGCAGATGAGCTGTCTTCCCCACCTCAGGCCGGACGCGCGAAAGTGCATCGTCATCACCGCGCCCAACACGAAGTCACTGCCAACTTTACTGCACCCCCGACTGGCTTCCTGCTCAGCGACGACGAAGACGACACGGAAACCAGCTTCGGAGCAGACATCGTGTCAAGCCCCGTGTCCGTCAAGCGGCCAAGGGTGCACAAGCCTCGCGCATACGCACTCAACACGCCAACGCGGGGAAGCGGACACGTTCTGGTACGGCCGACACCGACGCCAACGAGCGGACAGCGCACGCGCGCGGACGTCGACGAGATCGCATCGCCCACGCAGTACCGCGGCCCCGACCTACGCAGCATGCTGGATGACGACGGGCACGCAGAGCACGAACTCGAAGAGGCGCTCCTCGCCGCGTCAGGCTCCGCGTCGTCCCCGAGCCCGTCGCCCGACACCCCGGACCCCGGCACGCAGGCGGGGCGCGTGCAGGTCATCGACGTCGACGACCTACCGGACGAGGAGGAGCAGCTCATGCGCGCCGCGGCAGAGCGCGCGAACGCAGTGATGGTCGGCTGGCGCGAGCGCTGGGCGCTGCCCGCGGGCAAGACGCCGGCCGTGAAGATGCAGAAGGAACACGCGACGGGTGCGCGAACGGCGCAGCTGCGGCGCAGCGAGACGAATGTGACGCCTGCCGGCCGGCACACGCTGAAGGCACCGCGCTCTGCGCCGCCCAAGTTTAACATCGCGCCGGACGGCGCGGGTGCGGGGCCGTCAGCGTGTGGAGCGAAGAGGGGCGGGGTGAAGCCGCGAAGGAGCCTAGTGTTTTACGACGCTGTGAAGCAGACGGGCGGCATGAGCACAAGCAAGCCCACGAAGGCGAAGAAGGGTCGGCAGGTTGTGGATCTGACGATGTCGGATCCTGTGGAGGAGAACGAGATATTCGCCGCGTCGCCGCCGAAGGTGAAGGCGAAACCAGCGGGGCGCGAACCCCCAGAGGAGGAGGGATATAATATACTAGCGCACGCCCAGCTGAACTTGTCGCAGTTTCGGTGAGTCGCCGACCTCCCTCAACCATGCGACTTCTCGACTAAATAAATGGGTGCAGTTATGTGCGCTGAGTCGGGATGGGGATGGGGATTGGCTTCCGTTTCCAACCAAAGCTGAGTGGGGCTGAACGTGGACTATTATCTGCTGTAGAAATTTTGATTATTGCTATCGACGCTACCGATGTTGTGTATATGTATTGACGGGGGAGTATTGATTTATGAGTTTTCTGCGGACGCGTGTTCTACCTCCCGTACAACGAACATTCAGGCTTCCACGTCAAGAAAAAAAGTGACAAACAATAAAATTGAGTACCGAGTCCGGGTTTAGGGTAAAATTTGCCATTCGAAGTGCACGGTGTCCACAACAAGTCGAGAAGCGTAAAACGGCGAGGAGATAGTCCGCTCCCGTACCCGTGTTGCTGAGAAGATATTGCAGTTGGACGACGTAATTCGTAGGCGACAGACTTTGACGCAAGTGCCCAGCATCGACCTGCCGAATTGGAACCATCTACATGATAATTTACATAAATATAAGAACAAAAATAATGAGGAAAACAGCGACACATTTGACATAAGTCCGACTCCTTCGTACTCTCATTTCTCCCGTCGGTTGTTCCAGAAAGGACGATGGCCACCATAACTATTGTTCACATCATGTGGAAGGGCGAGGCTTGAAGCGCGTAAGTATGGTGGTGATGGTATCGGTCCAATCCTTGTCCAGTTCTAAAGCGCCGGCCTTGAAATTCACCTTCGTCAGGTTTGGGAATACCAGACTGAGGTATTCAGCAACGCCGACGGCGCGGGATATGTTTGGTGTGATAGCCTTTGGAACTTTTGAAGAGCGGGACCCCAAGAACGACAACTTCTTGAGCCCATGCGGGACGAATATGGGCGATGGATTTTGATGGGCGGCCCGCATATCTTCCAGCTCGCGTTCCATTTTGTCCAATACCCCGTCGTCCGCAAGGAGCTTTGGAGGGATATATATTCTGAGATACTTCAGCTGTGGGCAGCACCTTGCGATTTGAGGGAGGGTGAGAACTGTCACATTTGTGTCGGGAAGTTTCGATCCATTTTGCTCCCATATGTCAACCTGGAATGTGAGCGCTTCGAGCGAGTTCAATGAGGCGAAGGGCCAGACAAGGGGGTCAATGGACTCGTCGCTCTCAAGACCGACAACGGGAATCAGGACTTTTAAGTGTCTTAACGACGTCCAGTTGTCTATGCATTCGAGTGTGCTCCAATTGAACGCATACATAGGGTGATGCACATTGACGATGGTGAGGAATACAAGGGAAGCTGCATTTTTCTTTACGCCTTTGAGGCATTGTTTTAACGCGGCGAAATGCGGTGAACTGCTGTCGTCGAGGCAGATTTCCAAAATCAACGAGACCATATTGGGAGCGTATTTGATGATGGCGTCCACGATGGCAGAAATTGATTGCATATATCCAATGGTTCGTATTCTTTCAAGCCTTTCTGCAACGAAGGTGTTTGGCGGTGCAATGATTGCCGGCTTCTTCAATGCGAGCTTAGAATGAGAATCCTTCGCGCTTCGGCAGTCCAGAGCGAGTTGGACGAGGCCTGCATTTCGAGAGACGGCTACCAGAAGATTTCCAATATCCTGTATGTCATTCAAACATAACGAGAGCTGTGACAATGTTTTGGACTTCTGCAGAACAAGCAGGCAATTTGTCGTCTGCTTTCCCCATAAAGTCAAGTTCATCAGTGACTTTGAATTCAATCCACAGAGCTGGTTGAGAAAGGTCGTGACGTAGACTTCGCTGATACGGTCTATCCCCGACAAAGAGACCGTCGACAGAGTCGGTGAAGGTACAAGAAGTAGGACTTGTAAATCGTCTGGTAAAAGTTGATCCAATG